TTAAAAGGCATTGAAGCTTATTACCAGTATGAAAAGATTCCATCCCAACTATGTGACGTTTTGGAAAAGGCAAAACTATAGTGATGATTGAAAAGCTTCAGTGGTTGATAAGGGTTGGGAAGAAGGACCAACATAGAGGTTTATTGACAGTGTTGTATCATTATAAATATATGAGCATGTCATTATACTGAACAATGGGTGGACAATAAGAAAACCATGGTTTTGGGGTACTAATGATGAATTTGGGCAGGTTCATCAGTGGTAACACATTGTCCACACTTGAGGGGAATGTAACTATCCAGGAGCCTGTGCTTTTGTAAGTTAGCAGCATATACAAGAAATCTCTGAACTTTCTACTCTATTCAGCTGTGAACTTAAAGCTGCTGTACAGTCTACTGAAACAGTTCATCCACCCAGCTGCATCCATACTCAAACAGAAATGCATTAATAAATGCCCACCAATAAATGGGCATGTTATAATTAATACAGATTTCCCAGATGACCTTTTCAGCTACAAATCCTTTAATATTTCATATTTCAACACATTTCAGGGGAAGATGTTGATCCACACTGATTCTGTAATCATAAATTAAATCTGGAAATATTTATTCCCAAAGGGACAAACACAATTTTGGACATTCAGATTCAGCAAACTCTAAAACTGAACAAGTGAAGTCAACAAAAGCAGCCTATTCTCTTCTGTAAACTCACTCCTCACTACAAACATTCATTTGCTATACACACATAGCTCACTCTCTTAGCTCTGACGTACTCCTTCCTTCCAAGACAATTACCTGTTGCAGGAATCTATCTAATTATCATTCTCTGTAAGGCTTTATACCTATGATTTGACTATAACCTTTGCAAGACTCATTATAACCTTGGGCTTTAGAGTCATATAGATGACCTACACAGTAAACTATTATTTATCCAGGAACAGGAATGGAACTTTTTAAATAAGTTCTAACACAGACAGTTAATACATATTTTGGTTCCCTATACATGGTTAGCAACACTGGAACCCTCTAATAAGATGGAGACTGGTCTGTTTCTTTCAAAAGAGAGATTAACACTTTCTGCAGCAATTTTGTTTGCTATCACCATGGTGGGGTCTGGATCTCAACAGCCCCACCGCCAGCTGTATAGTAAGTCCTGTGTCTATCGCATCCTGTTCAATAGTCATGAAGTCTTTATTCTTGGAACCTACAGTCAGTCACCATGGCTCCAGGGATCAACTTTCTCTGGCCATGAGGATTAGTACTTACTTTTATCAAAGTGACTTTGAGGATCCTGTGCTCATGCCACTAGTCCCTGTTACTGTCTAGGAATGAGTACACAACTCTTGCCCTTTGCATCGACGTATACACCAGTGTACAAGCCGTACATTGTTTTCTGTAGCTTGTGGTCCATGGCGTAGTTTCAGTCTCTTCCTCCACTTCCCTAAAGTCTGTATTTGCTCACAGGAAATTTCTCATCCATATCCACCAGCACCTATTCACATTCCCGGTCTCCTCTTGGACACTTTTTTCTTCCTTTAGTTGTAACTAAAACCCAAACCTTGCCTGAAAATTCCAATTCTTCTTCACATTTTTCAAAAGTTACTTTAAAATTTGTTTATTGGCAAGTAATCTTTTCTCCTCACTCCTAAAGAAATTTTTCTCGTGTCTTCTGAAAAATCCTATTTTTTCAAGTTTATGACATTCATACTCAGGGATAGTCAATAAAACTTTATTCACCTTTTTCTTTCAGAGAGACTATTGCTGCATTTTCTAGTCTCTCTTAAAGAGTTATTAGGTTATATAGTTTAAGTCTAGGAACAAAATGTTACTACTACTACTACTAATAATATTATTATTATTTGAAGAGTTCTTTCTGACCTAGTCTCTTAAGAAAAATACATGAATGTTCTGTGTTCTCCTTATCCATGTGCTGGCCAGAGGCAGATGACAAAGTATCTTTTAAATTTTTTTTATTATTTTAATTTTATGTATATGAGTATATTGCCATCATATATGTGAGTGCACTCCTGTCATGCAGTGCTACGGAGGTCAGAAGAGGGCATTGGATTCCCCTAGAACTGGAGCTAAGGACCGTAGTGCCATGTGGGTGCTGGAAATCTAACCTGGGTCCTTTGCAAGAGTAGACAATACTCTTAACCGCTGAGCCAATTCTCCAGTCCCATGACAAGGTATCTTTAAGGTACCTAATACACAGGTATATTGAAGCCATAGGATAGAAACCTAGTTCACTAAATAACTATTTGGATGAAAAATCATTTGCTAATAACGACTGCTCACCCTGAACAAGAAAGGACAATATCAGGGTATAAACAGCTACTTGTTAGGCATTATAGTATACAGAAGTATTTTCATATAAATATAAATATAAATAACAAACCCATTCCATTATCTTCAACTCAACCCTGGCACTGAAGGCTTTCATATATAATAAGTATTTTATATCTGTATTCTAAAACTTTAGCATCATCTTGAATTATATTAATATCTACCTAGACAATCCATCCAACACTATGTCCTCTCAAATACTGACCTCGAGGTCAGTTTCTTGCTTGTCTCTTTCCATCTGGGTACTCACTCCCATGAACATGCTTTGAAAATTGTCCTTTCCTATAACCCCTTTTTCAAAAGATTATAAAATCTTGTCCATGACACAAAATCGTTCAAATAATTTATTCATGAGTATAATTTGATTTCACCTCTTTTTAGCTTCCTTCCACACCTAGATTAGATTCCCTAGTGCTCCAATTTGGCAATAGCCTGAATCTTATTGCCCTTCTGAGTTTCAAACTTATCTACCTAGCAAAATCCCAAACCTGAAGGAGCTGAGCTGTGTGCTTTCTCAGTGAAGAAACCACCAAATAATTGAGCCATAAAGAGTAACATCATGCAACAAGGCAGACAGATTCCAGCATGGAAACCTGGCCACTAAGCTCTAAGCCTTCATGCCTACCGCTATATAGCAACCAACTTGCAACCTTCTCTCAAGTAATGTACCTCAAACTCACATTTCCACACTCAATCTCAGAAGTGTCCCATAGACATGGGTTCCACTACCAGCACCTTTTCTCAGGAAGTGGGCCACCTCTTCACCAAGCACACAAACAATAAAACTTGCAGTCACCCTTGAAAACCTCTTCATTGCAGGGTTCATCATCAATCCATTTCAAGCAGGTGTTGACATAACCTTCGAAACACATAGCAGCTTTCCAACATACTTTCTGTTCCACTAGTTGAGCTAATATCGTCTTGTCTGGAATACAGATGATGACACTTGGAATCTGATGTTGTATTGCCCACTTATTATATATGTTAGTCTATAAACGTTATCCAGTTTATATCTCGTGTTTTCCTTTTTTTTTTTTTGCTTATTGTGAGGGGGTATTTCTGGATGCATGTTGAATGGTACATGAGTACAAGAGAATTCATATGCATTATCATAATCTGCATATGCATATATGAAGCAAGTATTCAAATCTACACCATATAAGAGAAACAGACTGGAGTAACAATAGACAAATGTGGAGAATGTGAAGAATTCAGACTCGGGTGTGGATCTTCTCAAATCTGGTGACGCTAGCTGTTGAGTACACCTCTATTTCCGAATCAGGACGCACACTGAACTTCACGGAACAATTTCTTTTTCATTTAACTTGCAATAAATTCAGAATTATTTCAAATGTTTAGTGCACTCGTCTATGAATATAAAAAATTATATCCCTCGAAGGTATTCACTTTCCAAAAGTATCATGAGTTACTGATAGTTTAAGAAGAATTATTTTGATTTTGTAGCTGGAAATGTTTACCTGTCTATAATCCAAATTAAGACTGATGCCCAAATGCACAAGGTAGCCATCTTGCAAGAGGAATGGGATTATAGCATAACATAATGAAGATAAACATATTTTGCTTCGAAATCGAGCATAATTTTATTTTCCTCTTAGATAATAATGATATAAGGGTATTAAAGCACTTTATGTATGTATACTTCCTGTTTATCATACCGAATACTAATGAACAAGATAAATGGTTCAATAAAGTATAAGACATGTATTTTGGCTTATACCTGTAATCCCAGCACTTGGGAGGCTGAGGCAGGAGGATTCTTGTCAGTTTGGAAGCAGCCTAGGCTACATAGTGAGACCCAGGCCAACCTGAGGAACACAGAATAGCCCTGCCTTCAAACAAAACAAAACAAAACAAAACAAAATGAATACTGATAGTACAATTAACTAATTCACCACAGACAGTGGTAAACAAATATTCTGAAAAAAGCAAAAAATAAAGAAATATAAATTCATATAGCTAAAATGAAGGATTGTAATTATTTTGAGTGAATAGGAAGATTCTGTTCTTAACTGTTATGTCACTGGAATATAAGAAAATGGATACGAAATTAAATATTAATATACCATTCGATTTTGTTTATTTGAGACAGGGTCTCACTATGTACTCTCAGATGTCCAGGAACTCACTAAGAAGATCATCCCAGACTGGCCTTGATCTCAGAGAGATCCACTTGCCTCTGACTCAGGAGTGCTGGGATTAAAGGCATGAGGCACCACATCTGGCCTGAAACTATCCTTTTTGAATCCATTGTGTCTACCATGCAGTAAAGGTTTTGCAGGTAGAGACATTGTGCTGAGCAGTTTACATGTATACTGACATAAGAATTGCCAGAATCCTTGTTTTACAGATAAGGAAATTGAGAAGGAGAGCAAATAATCAGAGCCAAGAGGTAAATCCAATCCCTGCAGGATTCCAGAAACACTTAACATTAAATTGCCTTCTAAATAAGTAGCTAAGGCTTTCATTGTGAGCCGTTACTTGGTGACAATGGTCTAAAACTTTTTTTTTTCACTACTAATAGGATCTGATAATGAGACATGTCAATTATAATCAGATGGAAAAGGAAAAAATTAGAAAACTGCACATTAGAAAACTCGTCTTTCCCAGATTATTTAAAGAACTGTTTAGTCTTACCCATGAATTCAATCCCCAAGTGGTCTGCTACACCAAAGCCAGCATGGAAAGAAGGAAGCAGAAAAAGAGAATAAGGTTAGAAAAAATCCGCACAAGGGCATCATGCTTATACAACCAACCATCTAAGGCACAGAATGTGTTTCTACTTTTGTTGAGTTAGTGTAAGGAGGTAATTTATACACTGCCAACAATAACAGCTCTCTTAATTCTTGTCACTATTTTCACAATGCCTATGGATTTTAGCTTGAAATTTTAGTGGAATAAGGGCATACTAATAATGACATATACTTCACACATTTGGGAAAAGTTGGAATAGAGGGATCAGGGAATCAGTGAATACTTGATACTGCCATTTTCACAAACTAGTCTTTGAAAATTAAATATATAAACTTCTTTGGACCTCTATATTAATAAGAATGACAAAGCCCCAATCAAGCTATTAGCTGTTACTGACTATAACTGACTGGACCTCAAGTTCACACACACACACACACAGACACACACACACACACACACACACACACGATTCTGTTTTTCTTCCTTGAATTTGTTATATTTGAAACTGTACATTGGCAAAACTGAAAATCTTACATAGGTCACAAAGTATTTAGACTGAAGGCACAAATCCAATATTGCTGACCCTCAATCCTTGTAGCTGCAGAGCTTGGCAGCCCATCCAATCAAAAACAAATGGCAGAGGTGTCAGCCTCTGCTCTGCGTGCTGTGGACAAAAGGCAGTCTTGGGCAGCTAAGGTCTGCCTATGACCAGCAGGGTTAGGAACTGCACTGGACTTGTTTATTTAAACAGTATCTTCTTTCTCTGAATCATTTAATTATGTGCTCATTCGCATTTTAAATTCAATGCATTACTTAATGGTATTTTTGTTGCAGTAATATTTGTCTGAAATGAGACTAAACAGGGCAAAAACGAATGATGAAGCTGCGTTTGTTTCCAAATGCAATTACTAAGTTTCCTTTTAGGAGTTTTCGGTTTAGTAAATAAACACTTCTTTGTAGAAAACACATGCTTAAGTACTTTGAATATTTCAAGGATTTTCGTGAGTGTAAACAGCTTACTCTTAAAACAAAGTTTGCCATTTTAGCCACTTTAAGTACTTAATTCACTGGTAGTAATTGTATTCACAAGGTGATTCAACCACCACCACCATTTCTAAAACTTTTCCATTAAATAAATCAGAAGCTCTGTGTCCTGAGAACTCCCATGTCTCCTCTACAGTTGCTAACAACCTCTAATCTTCTATGTTCTGAATTTGTCCAATAAATTTACCTGGGGTTCATGTTAAGTGATTAGAACTTATTTTAATTGAGAAATGTCTACTTTTATGAAGAAAGATGGCTCTGTATCTAAAACACAGATGCATCACTTTCTCCACGTGACATGTTTTTTATGAGTTGCCTGTGGTGATATGTATTATGACAGTTATCTGGAACACTTTATTGAAAAGACAGTTTCTTGTTCTCCATGAGCTCAGCAATCATCAGTGGGAAACAACAGAGACAAAACTCTGGGCACTCATTCTCAAAGATGCCATTAGGAAAGTGGGTACTGAATGAAGAGGCAACAGGTTAATAAGCTTGTTTTATGGAGGGAGTAGGCAAAAATGGGGTTCGTGGGGAAAATTGAGACAACTGTGCCTGTGCTCTTCTGAAGATAAGAAATTTCATGATGGTGTGCACACAAAATGTGGAGGAGATACTGGAGGGATAGATTTTTTTTTTTTAAAAAAGGCTCTGGGTGAAGTTACCTATTCGAAAAATAGGAAAGGAGAAAAAAAAACACACCAGAAATAAAACAACATTTTGAATAAGCAGGGCATGTAGACAATCAGGCATGGTGAATCTGCAGTCTGTGCTCACAAGGGAGCAGTGTATGCAATATATTGGAAGCCAATCTGAGAATCTCACAATCATGATGAATACATGGCCAGCAACAGAGACAAATATCACAACTGAAATTATTCAAAGAGTAAAAAAGCATTAGTAGGAATCTTGAAAAAAACATCTCTTTTAACATAAAAGTTGTTAGACTTGTAATTTGAAGTTGCTGCTGCAAATGGCATCTGCATTCTTATATGCTAGAGGGAAACTGCTTATCAATTTTTATGATGGTATTTTCATGGAAACTGACAGTACTGAAAATACAAATAAAAAGTTAATTTGTATTTAAAATATCTGCCTTCTGAACTTATATACGCAACACCACACACACACACACACACACATACACACACACACACACACACAGCTGTATTAAAATGCTAAATACTGTGATCATTATTAGCAGTTCGAGGACACTGACAAGCTTTTGTTCACACAGAAGAGTCAATGAAAGTCCATGAAGAGCAGATGACAGAAAAGCAGTTAATTTTATTTCAGTCATACACAGAACATAAACCATACTATTTCTCCCAAGATTTTGCTGATTATTTCTCAAGGCAAACGGCCTGCCTGAAGATGTTCAGGCCTACAGGAAAGCATCAAGAGCAACAGTGAGAGTTAATTAATAGCTTATTTATTCATTCACTGGAGCCACAATGTGCCAAGAACTGCACAGACCTTAGTGTGAACCTGCAGGCATGTTGGTTAAGCAAAAGCCATCTAATTTCCCCTGTAGCAAGTGTGTATAATGTATAATTTGTAACACTTCAATCAACTTTGATTTGGGATACCCCCACCCTTGTAGTGTGTGGCTAAGAGCAACTAGCACCTAATATACTGTGGTGGATACTGTATCATCCCACAACAAACTGTGAGGATGGTAATCATGCCCATTTTACCGGGACCTATAGGGGCAGAGAAGGGTTAACTAACCTTCCATAAGCACATTAAATATGAACTGTGGGACTCGGTTTGAGTCCCAGGAGCCTAACTCTCAGTCTTCAGTCATCCGAGTTTATAAATGTCCTCATGGTGAAGAATTAGCTAATTTCTACAAAGTCGTCAGATAATGAGATCTTCAGGGAGAAATTATTTAATCCACTTAAAAGCACAAGTTATTTTGAAGTATCCTTGGGCACTGTTGAAGCACTTCTCACTCTCTTGTTCACCCCTGGTTTCCTCCTGAAGGGCCAGACAAAGTCTGGTTAGATAGAGGTGGGTATAACAGAAGACAGATGTTTCCTGGGCCCAAGAAACCAGCTGGCACATCATTAATATTTTCTCATTGGTGACCAGGGAAATTTCTTCACAATGAG